CCGCCGCGGCCCCCGCGCCTCCCGCGCCCTCCGCGCCGCCCCGGGCCCGGGAGAGCGCCGAGCTGCCGCTGCCCGCTGGCTGGGAGGAGGCGCGCGACTACGACGGCCGCGTCTTCTACATCGACCACAACACGCGCCAGACGTCGTGGATCGACCCTCGCGACCGGTAAGGGCGCCGGCGGGGGGCGCGGGCCCGGGCCAGGATTCGGGCGCCCCATCCCTTGGGTCCTGGGATAGGCTCGAGGACACCGGGAGGTCCCCCACGTCCCCATCCCCGGGGCCCTGGCCGACGATCGAGGCGCCCAGTGTCCCGGCTTCAAGCCCGGGAGCGCGGAGTCCCGACGTCCTCCCGGCCCCCGCTCCGGGCGGACACTCTGACTTGATTCCCTCACGTCACCCGCTGACCGGCGCCTGGGAGCTGGGCGCCTGGAATTTCCTCTCCCGGGGCTGACGGATGGCCCTCTTTTCCTTTTTCCGCCGCGGCCTCGCCCATCCTTGCCGGGCCTCTGCGGCCCGCGGCCCACGGCCCCCGGCTGTGGCCTCGCAGGCGCCCCGGCCCCGCGGTGGCCAGATGAACTGTCACCGTGGAGCACAAACGTGCGCCCCAGCTTCGTGGTGTGGGTTCCTTGTCTGACGTACTCAGCCTCGTTTCCATCTGTAGATTGCCGCCAGACGGAACATTTCAGGGATCCCCGGTTCTTTGGGAGTTGGGATAGCCTCTTCCCAAACTGTGATGGTTACTCTTTAGCGCCTTAAACATTGAGTTAAAATTCTGATTGAAACAGCCTTGTGTACTGCAGCCAGAATGAAATATGATTAGACCCAGATGCTTTTGGAATAAACGAAACGCCAAGAGTTGAATTTTAGGTTTCCTTTTTGTGCAAGATACGAATTCGGTACTAAGTTGTCTGATTCATGTAAGTAAACCCTATGGAGTAAAAAACGGATTTTTGCATTTAATGAAGTTCATGCAACGATGCTTTTCCTTAACTTTCCAACGGCTCAGCTGCTTTTGGAGAGATGCATTTTTTTGTGGCATTGGGAATTCTGTTGAAACGCAGTGTTTCCAATGGTTATCTGATATCTTGTCCTATCTGGAGCAACTTCTCTCCACGGCCTGAGTGCCAGAAAAGTAATATTGCAGGCTTCCCAGTGATTTTCAGACTTGAAAAGGCCCAGTGTGGTGACAGCACGCCTGCTTCCTCCTACCTGCACAGGAAAAGGCAGCGCTGCATGGCACTGGTGTTTGAAAATAAACTTCGGAGGAGGGAAGCTGCTGAATTATTGTTTGAAGATTTCTCTGGGTTCAGATAGGGAGAAACAAAACAAAGCAAAACAAAGCAAAAGGATGGCGGTTCCCTAACATTCTCTCTGAACATTGCAAACTTCTGGACTCAGAAACTTAGATAATCATAGCACGGTTTTATGGGTTAAAAAGATGCTTAGTTATTTGAAAATCAGGTGAGATCATATTATAATTTTAACCAAAGGCTAGAGCCACAGCTGTTTGATCAAGCCTTGGATGGTTCTGGAATTGGTAGAACTGCTTGGAATGTGGTGCCCTTTTATCCTGTATGTCTGTTAAAAACCCAAACAACTGGAAAATGAACCAATTAAAAATACTGTTTTGCTTAGAAAAGGCTAAGGTTCATTTTATGAGGGTAATATAAAACAGTTGTGGTTACATTGGAGTGGGAATTCGTGATGAAAAGTATAAATGTAAGAATTTCCATTTTTATGGTACGACCCAGGACATAGGTGAGCAGACTCTGCAGAAGTCAGCTTGTAGAATCCTCCTTTTGTGTACTTCGTACACATTGCCTATGTTTCTCCTTCCAGAAATCTGTTACTGAATGACATTCTCACCCTTTTCAGACCGCTTATGTTAGGGCTTTTTAAAAAGTCCTGTTTCTAATGCTAAAAGTGTCGATTGAGTGAACAAAAGTGGATATTTTACGTTTTTTGGTAAAGTAAAAACGTGTATACTTTTATGAGACATTGTTTTTATAGTGAGTGAAAATTCAGCAGGGGACAGCTTGCACTTCAGCTCCCATAATACCTTGCCCGAAATATGTATGGAATGTTCGGCAAGCCACAAACATTTAAGTGGAGTCTCTGAAGGGTGTAAATGGTGTAATAGTCATTCTTCTTCTTCTTTCAAAACAGAACCCTGCCGATTTTTATAGATTTTTATAGGTGACCGGGTAGCCTTTAAAGTTGGAATTGTTTTATTATGTGGAAAAAACTGTGTCGGAGCACATCTTCTCCATGCTTGTCTGACAGTTAAATTTGATTCACCTTTGATTCACATGACCAGAAAACGGTGTTTAAGAAATGAGGACTTTCCCCAAACAGCTCCCAAAGTGAGAACTGACAGGAGAGAGGCCAATAAAGAGGTTTTTAAAGAAAATAAAATTGTGAAGGAATTTGAATGGAGGTTAGATAGAACTTGTTGCTGACCTGAAACATTTCATGTATAATGTAGTAGAAACTGTAATAGCGTAAAATATCCTCCTGCAAGCAAAGTAGCCGAGGGCCAATGGTTGTAAACAATCTCTTCCAGTTTTCTACTCATTCCATTCATTGTTGTATTTCACAGCATTGGACATTGCCATCTCAGGGCGTGTTGGTGAATTAGTGTAGCTGTACTTTCTTTTTCAAGTCACAACAAAGGGGCTGCAAGCCTAAGGAAACATCTTTACAGATGTGGCTACAGATGTGTAAAACATCTTAGCCCTTTCAAAACAGAATTCTTTTAGTTTGATTAGGAACCCATCTTAGGTTTAAATTCACCTTCTCTGCGGATCAGTGAGGGTAATTTTCAGAGTTTTCTGGGAATCTTACCCAAAACCTTTCTTAAAAAAGTGTAAAGTTAATTCACCATTTCTATAGCTGGTAGTTTCCGTGGGTGAGTCTTGTGTGGCTTACATTAGTGGCACGTCTGTATTCTACATATATTAACTTGGAGTTCAATGACCACTTTATGGAAAGGTATTTACCATTTAGGCAGACAATATGGGAAGAACATTTTTGCTTCCTTTGGAAACACGCAGTGCCTTGGACGGTTGTATATATACACGTGTGCTTCCTGCAGGGTTGTGTTGATACTCTCCTATAGATGGACTAGGTGGTTGAGACTTCATGTTGTGTTTCCCCTAGCTCAGGTTTTATTGCACAGTACTGGAAATGCCAACCTTGAGCAGCCGAAGAATGGTGGACTGTATCACATTTGAGGTCAAAGCAGAGAGTAAATGATCATGATGGTGCTGGAAGGCCCAGATGATATCATGACAAAAGCTTTTAGGGATCCATTTGCTCACGAGGTGGATTTGACCTGCGCCACATGGAGGAGTCCTGTGGTATCTTCAAAGGCCTTCAGACAGGCTGTTGCTTTAAGGACAAAAAAACAACCCATGGTTCGGGAGTTGGCCAGGTCGAAGCCCCACAGCATAGAGCCAGATGACATCACTGATTGCTACCTTCTTGGAACCTTTACTTAGTATTAATTAGTAGGGCATTTACTATATTTACCCCACAGAGTCTATTTGGGGATTATATAAACTTTCTGATAAACATGTAATGATTTCTCAATTTTTCATTTTTTAAAAGAGTATAGGTAGTGTTTGTATGAACATTGGGGCGTGTCTTGCTTGTAAGGCCATAAGAGGTGGGCTCCTGGAAGAACCTTCTTCCATTGAGATTATCAACTACTACTTCTCGGCCTATTCTTGGTCTAATATCTTTCTTTTCTTTCCTTCCTTCCTTTTTTTTTTTTTAAAAGTGAATGGAAAAGTCATTCATTTCCAAAAATAGCTCCTGGATGTTTGGTTTCCTTTTCTTCCCTTTCACTCCGATTTTGGCGGTGGAAATAAAGTGCTTCACCTTCTCTGGTGGGTTCTACTTCAGGAGCCCTTGGGTCAGGTGTTAAAGGTCACCTGGTGACCCTGGTGAGCTGCTTCTAGCGCAGGTCCCTTCGCTAATGTTGGATGCCTTTCTCAAAAATCCAGTAAAATTAATCAGACGGAATAAAAGCAGAGCTAAGTTCTACGAGTTCAGTTATTCCCCTTTAAATCCAGTCAAATGAAGAATTATTTATAGAGATTCTAGGCCTCCTGTGTGCTGGATGGTAGATGGAGACGTTTGTCCGGGGATGGGAGAAAGACATATAAAATGAAGCCAATGATGATCCTACCAGGTCCCATTATTAGGTGGTGATGGCTTCTGAGAAAAGGAGGGAGAGCTCACTGGAGCCTGGGGGCGTCTTTCTCCTCATCCATTGGTCTCCTGGATTGAGGGCTTCTCATGCTTTCTCAGTGCTGGAGAAGAAAAGGGGGAACTCGAGAAAAGTGCCGGAGACGAGGAAGCGCTGGGTGTTTTCAGAATAAATGAGGGAATTGGACAGTTTGACCCACCCAGTCTTTGTGTAAGGGAGGTAAGACTTGGGAAGACCACACATAACTTAGACTCCTAAGTTTTGGGGTTCGAAGAGCTGTCTTGTTCGAGCTCCTCATTTCGCACTCGAGGGCCATAGCCAAGGGGTGCATCCTTCCGGCAGTTGGAAGGACAAGGTCTTGAGCTGTGCCTTCTGACCCGGAACCAGTGCTCTTTCCAGTATCCACCCAACTGCATAGTCCCTACTCTGTTTCAAGCATCTGCCTCTGTTCATTCGTTCATTCATTCATTTAGTCAATGACTATTGCACAGCCTTGCAGTGTCAGGCACTCTTCCAGGGCTTAGGACTCCAGTGGTGAGCACCGGCAGACAGGTCCCTACCTCCATGAGGCTTATGCTGTGCTTCTGCCCTTCCCCCTAAAGCCTCACCATGCTATTCCTGCCGCCTGGTTTCTCCTCGCTGGAATCCCTTCGGCCTGTGGTTATGGCAGACATATGTGGAGTGCTTACCATGTGCCAAGTGCTCTAGGCATTTGCGTGGATGCTTGCACTGAAAACCCACACTGGCTGCACAAGTGGGGGTGGGCAGGTGATGAAACTAGGCTAAGGGAGGGTGACTTAGTAACCTTGCTCCCCATAGCCAACTAGGGGCAGCGTCTGTCCAACTCCAGAGTTCGGCCCAGCTCTACTACCTGTATTTGACCCTCCGTTGGCTAGGTAACTGCCCCTTGCACCATGTTATACCCACCGGTTATTTTTATCTTTCATTCATTG